ATTTTATTTATTTCTTTTTTTGGTAAAATATATAAAACCCCGCCAAGTATGCAGTAAAATAATGAGACTTTAAAATGTGGCAATAAATGAAAAATCGTTAAAAGCCAATTTATGTTATGAATTGTTATTTTTATCATTTGCCTGCTAATTAAACATAGCAGCAAGCATACAAACTCTATTTATATAGAGTGTTACTGATAAAACATCGTACGATGCTCAAGTTGAAATGGTCTCGAGTTAAATTTGTATCGGGCATCGAAGAGCGCTTTGCTTTTCATAACAAGTCTAATTGAAAGTGAGTGAACAATCACCGTTATTGTTATTGTTGCTTTTTGTTTTTTAGTTGTTTTTTTTTTTTGTATTTTAATTTTGTAGAAAAAAATCCAAATAAAACACACACTGTCTGTGGAACTTTGGGCGTTGCGTGCACCACATCCGAACACACCGAAAGAAAGAAATTACTGASTTTTTGTCAAAGAAAGAGGGCCAAAACAAACACTATAAATCAATATCAATTTTATCAAGAATTTTGTTTTTCACATAAACAGTATTGAATTTTGACAAACGTATTGAAAATATATTCCACATTTATTTTCTACAACTTCTCTCACGAAAACGTCTGAATTTGCTCCTGATTTCACTAAAAATTATTGACGACATATCCGACAGATCGAGAAAGAAACCTACAGCAACGACTGCTCGCTTCGACTGCGCCGTGGGCACTGAACGACCGGCAGAGCTTTTTGCAAATGAGAAACACCAATGCAGGCGCTAGAGTGTGACCGAGAGAGCGTGAGTATTAGCGTTTGAGGCTGCGCCTCGGACTTTGCAGTGAAAACGAAACGAAGAACAAAGAGATTGCCCAAAAATACATTAGCAGCAGCAACAACTAGCCTAAGTACTTTTTTTGTGAGGGGGAAATTTAGCGGCTTCGGCTTTCAATTCATTTCAATGAAGGGGGAATTGAGCGAATGATGCAGTAAGATGAAGAGCACATACACAAAAAATACTTGATGTATAAAGCAAAAAATTCAATAGCTGCTGTTATAGTAAAACGAACAATAAGAAACCACAAAAAAAAGCCCAAAAAGTACTAAAGACGTGTGTTGAAGTGGGAAATATGTCAGCTGCTACAACAAATAGCCAAAAAGTACGTTGTAACGAACAGGGAAATTAATGACCAAAAATAGCCGAAAAGGTATTTTTGTCAAAAAAAAAAAAAAAAAAACTTTACTGTGTGTGTCTATATGAAATGAAGGGGAAAATTGAGCAGCTTTTGCTGTATATCACATTTTATTTAAAAATTAGCAGCACCCCGTGAACTGTGATATCAAATTAAAATCAACAAAAAATAGCACGTTTAACTAAACGTTTACGAGCTGAGCCATAACAATTTGCGAGCTGATCAGAGAAGCAAATAATAAATAGAAATCAATGGGAAATATTTAACAAGCACTAAACTTGGGCAAGTTATTATTGCACAAATAATTTGAACACTTTAAAATTCCATATGTTCAGTTTTCATGTGAATATGTTAAGTAATGAGAACGTAACTATTTAAAATGCTTATCGCAAAATCTAATCCACATAAACCTAAACAAAATTAACACTAAATTGCGCTGCTGTTACTGAAAAATTAGATAAAAGTCATCAAAACAAAAAACTGTCTGGCAGAGCATAAATCATCGCAACGTGCTCAACCCCATGGAGAACGCAACGATCAGCTCCAATCAGGTCAAGTGCAAACGCACAGCAAGTAAATACATGGAAATGGAAGTGGAAGTGGAAACTGGCCAAACAGTCTACGCAACTCAGTTGGGACAGTGTAAAGGGGGTTAGGCAAGCGAAAAAAAAAATGAAGCAACTGCGATAAGAAAAGTTTCTGAACCGAACTGAGATACTTTTTGTTGACGCAAGATACAGGAATCCAACCTAGTTTATTATAGATATTTTCATTTTATTTATTTAACTTCTATGTATATGCGATACGCAACATCTCTATTTTCTATATACAYCTAAAGTGCTAAAATAAATAAATTTCTATACGCTATTTTCAGTTGACAATTGACTCTATATACGTTGGAGTCAATTGTCAACTGAAAATATACTATATACCACATATATATACTTTTTGCATTTATTGGATTTTCTAATTACTCCATTGTGGCGGCTTTATGTTAGAGCGTGGGCTAATAACACGACGTATACGTAATATCATATAATTTACAGTACATTTATAGTTAATTAATCTGCTATCGCGACAAGCACGTGTGCTGCACATATACCCTGTAATTTGGGGCATGCTTTGAACTAATGCAGACTGTCATATAGAACTTATACATTAATTATTACTAATATTTGATATATATTTACGTATTTTCTATACTCTATATTTTTCTATCGTATTCAATTTTAATTTTGAGATTATTTTTATTATGTTTTACAAATTTTTTAAATCTTTCAATCAAATTATCTATATAAAATATATCTTTTTTTTCTCATTGATTTTTAGTTTTGTTTGAAATTGGGTTTCTTCACATATTCACAGGGTAACTGCCAATCGAATAGTTGCTCAAGTATACCCCTTCTTTTGCATATTTTCGCACACGCAAATGGCGAACCAAAAAAGAGTTTTCTGCCTGTCGTGCAAGGTCAAAACTGTTTTTTGCGGTCTGCTTGAATAATTGATATGCATGAAGAAGAAAAATTGTGTTTGGGCAACGAATTATACGTATTTCAAATGGCAGTGGAAGGTTTACCACAAGCCTAAAGGTATGCAGTAGAAACTCTCAAAGGAGGGCAAGGCAAAAACACACACACAAACACCCACATAGTATCAGATATATACACACATTCAGCTGGCATGCATTAGGCAGCTGTCGGAGCTGTCATTCAGTTTGTCACCAACTTCCGATAGTGAATGAATTAGAGGCTCAACTCTTTTAGCGCTTAGACTGTCAGCATTTCAGTTAACAAAGAAGTTGAATGAAATGCCTGAATATGCTTGAGCTCTGCCAGGCACAGCCTGTTGCTAGCTCAGGTTCTCTGCCCGGGGCATACTCAATACATGTGAAATTCTCGCACAATTGACAAACCAATTCAAGGTTAGATGAGTGCAGCAGCCGCTGATTGTTGTTGCCATAGCAGCCCGTGCTTTAAATTCGTTTCGAATTCAGTGACGACAACAAATGCATGACCATGCGACGTATACGTAATGTGCCACGAGCAGCAGACAGCTCATTGAATAAATTGTTATTTCAAGTGTGAAAAGGAAACTTCAATAATAAAGAAAACAGTATTATCATTATAACTATATATTATATATTTTAGCATGTTTGCTATATACATGTACACATCTGTATGTAATTAGATATAAATATAACTTTTATAAATGGAAAAGTTTTATAAACATATGGAACTACCCATTGTTCGCGCAATCTAAATGAATTCAAGAATTAGAACTGTTTTTGCCTTGCACTTGGCCACGTTTGCAGCTTCGCTTATGCCATATGCCGCATGCCACATGCCACATGCCATTTTCCATTTATTATTTGCCATTTTCCTTTCATCACGCCCCTGAAGATGCCCTAGGCCTTGTTGGCTGCTGACAACCCGCTGTCATTTCTATAGCATATAGCAGAAAGTTGAGCCAAGGGCTCGGGTAGCCACGACTTTTGCTGTCACGATGATGCGATTTGATGTGACTGCCAGCTAAGCTAGTCACAGTGACAGAGAGTCAGCTCAGTGCATGCACTTGCCATTATCTAACTGACCGAGTAAAATCAATAAAATGCACATTCATCATCTAAATGACACTGTCCATCTCTCTTTCTTACTGACTTTCGCTTTTGCTGTCTCTCTCTATGACCCTTTCCCAAACGCATTGCCCAGTCGGCCAATGGGCCAGGCCAGTAGCAATTTCGGTGGCAGCTTGACACTTGCTGGCCAAACTATTTTTAATATTGAAAACGAACGCAGGCTGCGCTCCCAAACACGCAAAAGTTTGTGACACACACTGTGAGAGAGTGTGTGAATGTGTGTGAGCGCAAGAGAGAGAGAGAGAGGGTCTATGTGGACTAAACAGGAGCGGAATTCCAAGCTAAAGTCGTTGGCGCATGTTTAAGACTGAAATTTGCTACAATTTATGACAGTTTAAAGTGGATTCAAAATTAACAGAAGAAGGAAATATCTATTAGTGTCTACTTATATGGTAGTAAAATATAACAACTGTGATACCAAATTGACTATGACTCTTGTTACCAAGTTTAAATATGCGTAAATAAATATAAATTTTACTATGATTATTCTCATATGGATGTGCGTTCGACCCAATCAGCAATTTCTCTTGAAGCGTATTCGACTTTCATTATAAAAAAGTTCGAATTTTCTCTTCTGCTGCCTTTGCTCTATTCATTCATTTGACTGCTTGTTGCTCGGGGCTGTTTTTATTGATTAACAATGATTATGATGCAGCCTGAAATACGAGCTGACCTTGCATGCCACATGCC